AAGCAAAGACAGTGAGTTAGACAACAAAGAATCCTGTTGGAGGAGGATGAAACACCACAGTATGGAGCTGGAGGAACACAGCAGGCCAGGCAGCACCAGACACCAGGATGTCACTTTTGATGTTGACTGAGGTCATTTATGTGCCAAGACAGTGATTAGAAAGAAGTATCCTGGAGTAACAAGAAAGTTGATTATTAACTTAACAGGCAAAACCACATTTAAGGACTCCAATGATCACAGTTTCAAAGACTAAATGGTTGAAGGTGAGTTTTATTGATGAGAAGAATCCTGACAGGAAAAAAGTAAATAGTACACGAGAAGATGGAATCACTTGCACCAGACGTAAGAACGGAAGTTGAGTTTCAGTAGTTTAGTGGAAAGAGAATCAAAAGAAGCAGCAGGTGGATCTAGTGGACAAGATGAGTTCAACAATAGCATGAAAGGAGATGGGAAAGGAACTAGAGTGGAGGGACCAAAGATAGGTCAAAGGAAGGTTGGCAGTTTGTCTTAATAGTAGTTGGAGGATGGGAAAAGCAAAAGTAACAAAAAGAATATTTTCAGTCATTGTAACAAAGCTATCTATTCAGTCCTTGCATTTATTAGAGGAAAACTTGAAAGAGGCAATGGAGGGGGTTTCAGGAGATGGCTGGCAGCAAAAGAAAAGTGTACCATTGACTCTCTAAGAAGGACAATTTCGGCAAAACAGAACTTGATATGGACCAGCTGGATCTGGTGGCGGCTGGTTAAAACAGTTGAGCACTGAATTATTGTCCCCTGTGCTTGATTCAAATGAGAGTCATTCCAAAGGCAACAACCAGATGAAAGTAGAGGTACACAGCAGGCCACGCAGCATCAGAGAAGCAGGAAAATCAAAGGGTCCCGACCCAAAACGTCAACTTTCCTGCTCCTATGATGCTGCCTGGCCTGCTGTATTCCTCCAGCTCCACACTATGTTATCTCTGACTCCAGTATCTGCAGTTCTTGCTATCTCTGAACCAGATAGAAGTGAACATGTTTTAATTGGGAATCAGATCAAAGGCAAATGTAGAAAATATTTAGCAAATCAGCAGCTATACAACTTTTTACAAAATGTGTTAATGGGATTTGTGCATCAATGGTAAGCCAGGACTTTTGTCTATTACAAATTGCCCTCAAGATGGCTGTGGTGAGCTGCCCTCTTGACAACAGAAATCATTAGGATGTAGGTATGCCCCCTATTCAATTATAAGGGGAGTTCCAGGATATTGACTCCACAACAGTCAAAGTGCAGTAAAATAGCTCCAAGGCAGCATGTGTGTTTGAGAAAAGGTTTTAAGTGGCAATTTATTGCCACTGTTCTCCTAAGAAGTAGAGTTTGTAGTTTAGAAGGTGCTGTCTAAGACTTAGTGAGTTTCTGCAGTGTATCATACAGATGGTACAAACTGCTCCACTCCGTGATAGTAGGAACTGCAGATGCTGGAGAATCCGAGACAACAAGGTTCAGGGCTGGATGAACACAGCAGGCCAAGCAGCATCATAGGAGCAGAGAGGCTGACGTTTCGGGCCTAGACCCTTCATCAGAAAAGGGGGAGGGGAAGGGGGTTTTGAAATAAATAGGGAGAGAGTGGGAGGCGGATAGAAGAGGGATAGAGGAGAGGATAGGTGGAGAGGAAACAAACAGATCGAAGAGGCGGGGATGGAGCCAGTAAAGGCGAGTGTAGGTAGGGAGTTAGGAAGGGGATAGGTCAGTCCAGGGAGGACGGACAGGTCAAGGGGGCGGGATGAG